GCTGTCACCCAATTTGCTCAGAAATCCAGAGGGAGATCCGCTGGTGTTTAAGGTGCGTAAGTAGCTTTAGCTCACATCTCTCGGCCGATCGTTGGTCCGTATGCAGTTTGAATCAAGCCTTCTCTGCTGCGGTATGAACTCACCTACAACATGCCCCACCTTCTTATTTTCCCAATGCCAAGGCTTGGTAATGATTCTTCCCAGATCATTGTACATACAGTAGTCTGGTTGCCGTTGCTAGTGGAGGATCGGGTCGGTGTCGTCTTTAGGGAATGAAGACTGGGGACCCAACACAATTCTACCGAAGACAGAAAAAGACACTCTGTCTGCGAACGAAGATGTCTCCGGCAGTACAGGAATGCTCAATCAACGGCCTACGTATCGGGTAGGGATGGCTACCAACGTTACCATAGAGCCAACACTCCCGATAGGAACTCCAGGAACCCGGAGCTACAGTAGTGCGATTCATGTTTTTCTATCCTCGAGGGTCCATGTTTGCATATTTTGCCGTTAATGTTCATGAGCCCAGAGATCGATAAGAGTATATAGCCCAAATCATGTGGCGAGACCCAACACCAAGCACTGTTCCCACCAAAACGTCCTGTCTCTGATGAGAAAGGCCCGCCCTTGTGGGAAAAGATGGTTCAACAACAAACACAACGTAGTATAGTTCCATCTATCGACCCGTCGTTCAAAGGTAGAGTGCTGACAGCTCAATCTCAATACTGGCAGCCAGTACTCCAGTAGTGTTGGCTGGATCCTTCGCCCATTATCACCATAAACCGGCTTCATTCAAGTTATCCACCGAAACGTTCAACCTCACACGAAGCTCATATGGAGGAAGCGTTTGTTCTGCTCCAATTCGTGAACTGTCCCACGGTGCGTGCGTTCCACTACGTACGGTTGACGACGAACCAGCTCAAAACATGCCTTCTATCCTGTATTACACATGCACTTTGCCAAAACACAAGACGAAAGAAAAAAACGAGCAACGCTTGAGGCTTGATTATCCGCCCTCTTCGCCTCTCCGTTACTCGCCTTCCCTTCTCTCCTTGCGTCTCTGACGGCTGCCACCTTATGCAGAAGAACGCCAATGCTGAAGCGAATTTCGTCAAGAGCTTGATAGAAGGAAGCAAGCAATAGCACAATACCGACGATGCTTCAGCGAGGCAGTCTTGTATCATATTGTGAATGATGTAGCAAAGTAGAGACAGTGAACCGGCGTTCTAGCGAGGGCGTCTTTCTTTCCGATGTGAATGGAGACAACCTAAACAAAAGGAAGCATCGAAATCCAGCGGGGGGCTTTATGACCAAGCATAATGCAATTAGTTGATAGGTAATCGCCGGCGAACGACAAGAACGTGCTTCACATTTGCGGAAGCTACATCATTCCGCATGCAGCGTTTACGTAGAGGAAGATATCATGTATAAATACGAAATCGGAGACAGGATAGGTTTTAGGCGTGGGTTTTTGCAGCGAGTGAAAAGTGAGCCTCCACCTGGAGAATCCCGCTCATAGTGCGTGCCACCGTGGTCTCTGGAGTCACACGAAGTTTGTTCATCGGTTCGTTACTCCGTCAGTCCAATTGGTAGATGTTATCCCCTGAGAATTTCGACGATGGCCTCAACCGAAAAACTTTTCTAGTGCTGAAAAGGTTGTGCCATTATTCAACCATCGTCCAGATTGATTGATAGAGAAACTTCACCTTGCTGGACGCAACATGATGTCGTGATAGACAGCACATTGTTTATACCCACCCACAGAGTGTTGCTGAGGGAGGTGGGGGGGGGCGTACTCTCATGTTTTGCATGCCTTAGCGGTTAGACCATTGACCATGTGCCCTCGAGAGGACGGAGCATTGTTCCCACAGGACCGATCACCAATGGCCAATCGTTTCTTCCTGCTTTGCCGAAGGTGGCTCAAAAAGGTATTCCCTAGTCTATCTACCCTATCGATATCACTTCCCGCCTTTTCAACCCACTTCCTATGCCCCAGTACGGCTATTGTTTTGTCCTCGCTATTCCATGCCTCAAACATCTCCCTGCACCTTCCTTCTATTTTTCCCAGCTCAATCATGTACACTTCCCTCTCCCCCTTATACAACGAACACTCGCAACTGCATGAACCCGGTCGTCACCCTCGGCGTCGCAATCACATTTGAACTTGTCGTCTCCATCGTCTACCTTCCGCGATATTCGTCTACGTTTCTCGATGGTCAGTGTACCCAGTCCTGAGTTTGACCTTCAGCTTTGTCCCTTCATTCATTGGTCCATGCAGTAGGTGCTCTTTGAACCCTATTCCTTCTTTCAACATTCCGTACACTTCTAGAACCTCCTAATCCTTGGTTTCTTTCCTTGGATTCTGTTCTTCTCTTTCGGTACAAGCAACAGATATCTTCTCCTTGAACCCCTCTAAACTTTACGTTTCCAGCGTTTCACCTCCGTCGATTTCGAACCCCTTCCACATGTCCTCTACAACCTTGACCCACTCCGTGGGTTGTTTACCCCTCATTTTGTTTGCCCACTTCGTCTCCCAGGCTATTCTCGGTAACCGTTCCTCTCCCATACCGCACATGCGATACTGCCATGTCAGCTTCCTTGCGACTCTTCCCGATCGTAGGGATTGGATCCCCAGTTCTGCCCTGACGGTGGCATTACTTGTGCAATCGGAACATCCTAGATGACTTTCGCTGCTTTCATCTCGAGCTCTACCTTCTCTTTTCCTTCCCATACTTCTCCGGCGTACGCTACCGGCGGTACGATTACGCTCTTCAAAGCCGTCAATTTGATGCGCGTATCGAGGTGCCGCTGAGGGAGGTGGGGAGGACTATTTTGAGCTGAGAATATTGTTTTGTGTTACCGATCTGCCCGGGTGTTTGAATCAGCCTCTATATTGGCAGGGTCAGCTTCAATCTTGAGTTCGAGGTTGAATTCGTGCTCCCTCAACCTGGAACCTCCGGCCTACTGTAGAGGGGCGTTGTTGCAGTTGCTGATGATACCGGTAGGAAGGTTGAAATGATGAAAACAAATCTGGCTTGTACTCTAGATTTGGAGGGTGCCCTACATTTATTTGATGATGCCATGGAATTCCATTGAATACTTCACGGAATGCCATGGAGATCCATGGAGATCCTCGGCATTACGCAGAACACTCGACGGAATGCCGTGGAGGTCCATGGAATTCCACGGTGGAATTTACGGTGTTCCATGGAGTTCCATGGAGTTCCATGCAGTTCCATGGAAAGCTGTGGAATTCCATGGCGGCATTCCATGACAGCCCATAGTGTGCCGTGGAGTTCCATGACGGCGGTGAATTTTCACGGCTAGTTCCGTGGAATTTGCCGAGGAATTTTCCGTAGAAATTTCCATGAAATAACCTGAGGACTCCCATGGCTTGCCACGCTTTCCATAGAATTCCATGGAAAATTTCATGGATATTTCCATGCTTCTTATGTGCGCAGTGCAAATACCCGCCTGATGCTGCTTTTTATGTATTCCCATCAGATTTCGGCATGAACTATAAACAACGCACCTTGCCACACCACCGCAGGCAGCAACACAGTACAGCAGGTAGGCGTAGAGTCGCAGCTCAGCTATGCATTGTGCCACTGGTCCATTTTTCCGGCCCTTGTTGTTCTGCGTTATAGTCGGTCTGGGGATCATGGCTACAGCCTTGCAGATAGCGAACGTCTTGCTTTGCATATAGTCCATGTCCCACAACACCAACGTATTTTGTGTGCTGTGTATTGCTGAGAGAACGCGAAGGCAATATGTGAGTGTGTACCCCCGCTGTGCCTGTTTTCAGATGGGGTGCCATATGCCAATCACGAAATTGACAAATGATGTGAACGATTGAAAGCCCCATAAAAAAAAAGGCGGACAGCCGAAGTGTCTCAATTCAAGCTGTCTTGGATCCTACAGTGGACGGTTTCTTTCGTGTCAGCCACGAGGGGTCGGCGCCCACCCCCCAATATCCCACACTACTGGCAATTTCGCTAAACCGCCCAGGGGACACCAATGGGTCACCCATGGGCCGCCCATGCGCAGCTCATGGGCAGCCCATGGCACCCATGGGGCACCCATATATGGGCAGCCCGTGGGCAGCCCATGTGCGGCCAATGAGTGTCCTTCAACAGGAACCAGTGTACTCCTAAACAATAGCGCGTGGGCACTTCAACCTAGAAATTAGCGTCGGCACTTCAACCTAGAACTTAGCCACCCAGCACCAACCTACAGTAGCACGTATCGTGTGGGCATGGGGTTACAGTTAGGGTTAGCGTTAAGGCTATTTGCCGTTATAATGCCCGTTCCAGCGCAGATAATCTATCGTTTAAGACAACACTGGTTCCGGTTGAAGGGCACTAATTGGCCGCCCATGGGCTGCCCACGGGCTACCCATGGGCACTACGTGGTGCCCATGGGCGGTTTAGCAAAACTGTAGAAAGTGTGGGAGACCCCCTCCCACGCGCCAAAAAAAAATCATGTGTCTTATGTAGAACTTCTCAGAAGAGGTCTGCCCCCGCTGCCTGTGGAGGGGGAAGCCCTTTGTGCCGGGACGACTGCTACATGGCGAGAAGCGTTCATTTAGTCCACCGTCTTATCCCTCGTCGATCGTGAACGAAGTGTGCATACTCAGGAAAATACATGGTATACTTTCACTATGGTATATCATGTTTGCTCGTTCGTTCCTTTAATTGATGTTGTTGCAGGAAAATATGCCGAGATGTTCAAACACACAACCTGATGCTAGCAGGTTTGCGAGGTTAACCACTAGACCACCCACCGTCGTTTCCGGCTAATCCATAGGAACTGAGAGGACAACAAACAGATGTATCTGATGAACTCATCGGTTGTGCAGCAGGAGTGAGTGCCTTTCTGCATACCGCTTTGACGAGAGAGTACATCCGTTAGTAGCCGGGAGTTCCAGGCTTGAGCTCTCTGCTCGCAGCGTAGACTATACTTGTACGTCACTTCGTATACTTGTACGCCACTGCGCATACCTGCACGCCACAGCCTTCAGCAATGTTCCAGACGAGTTGCTCTCCTGTTGACCTGTTGCGACAACATGGACGGATGTGGGGTGAGTGCTTCTTGGAACAACAGCGGCAGTAGTAGGGCACTCACGTACGTACGCTCTCTGTGCTAGACAAGAACGAAAGAACAACTGCACCAGCGTAAGGTTTCATACATATGTGATTTACCTTGGGACAGCCCTTGTTGCTATTGTTGACAAGTGCATCCTTCGTTGCGCGTTCCTCTGCTTGGGCTGCTCTGCTGTTAGCTCAGGCAAACAAAAAGCTGCGTGTCGGTACCATGAGGACGTAGCAAACAACAGTATATCATGGCCGCGGTAGCTTCTACCCTCGGTCGTTAATTCGTGAGAGCCTCGAACTCTCCTGTGAAACACTTTCAGACATGCCCTGGCAGTGCTTGTTGCTCCTAGCGGCATTCGGGTCGACGCGTTCATGCTCGCCTTACCTCTGGGAACGTTCTACAGAATGGTTCCGACAAGAGCCGAAGCGGCACCTGTTGCACCGCCCGCGGCCACACTCACACTCTGACTCTAGAGCCTAGAGCAAGAGGCAGGGACAGAGGCGAAGCGAGCTCTCGTTACGTAGACCGTATTGCAGCGGCCAACAGTATTGAGGGGAAACGAATACATTGAATTAGTCTCAAGTCTATAGGGTAGTGAGTTTCACCAAGAAGCAACTACAAGTAGGATCTCAGTCGCACACAGCACAGGGTGCGAACTCCGGGCAACGATGAGCCGAGGAACTCCAGGGGGTTGGAACCAGTGCTACCAAACCGACTGATTATCGTCTGGGAATTCTCGACCGAGGCTAAAACGGTGAGTCCTACTGCTCCCACTGCGTGGTACCGCATCACCCATGTCTTACGCTGAAGCGGAGCCTCGCTTCAGTCGGTGGCTTCAGAAGTACCGCGACGATCGAGAGGCACACAGCAGGGCTCGAAAGATGCACTCCGATCCTGCAATGCTTGATGCTGATCTCGCCCGTGTGGTGTCTCGAATGGGCATACCAAACGGCCATAGGAAGCCTGCCGAGCTTCGCGAAGCGACCGAAATGCTGTTAAATGGGGCACGTGCGAGCACGGAACATTTCCGGGACCAGGAGACGTTCTTCAACTTGGGAGACGTTGTTGATTTATTAGCGTCTCTCTTGGGAGAGGGCACTCGCCATGCACGCCCAGTGGTTGCGGCATTCTTGGAAGCACTCACGGCCAGTGGGTCGGCTGCGGTACTGACCAACAGGCGCTACGTCGGAAACGGAGGACTAGAACTACCGTACTTTTTACTGCAGTCGGTGGTGATTGGAGAACCATGGGGGTACAACTATAACAATTCATCTGGAATGCCCCATCTTGGATCCCCGAAAGACCGCGCCTTTCGCGAAATTTGTGTCCGAATGTTGGCGCGTATGGCGTTCCTCAGCGCTGAGTGCACCCTATCGCGCGGGGGCAACCATCCGTTCATGGTGCTGCTCGAAGGAAACCGTGGGCCAATGCTCCCGTTCATTGAAATCCGGATGAATCGCGTTGTTGATTTTCCGGTGAACCAATCTGCGGTCCTCGACGTGCTCTCTCTGATGATCTTCGTGTATCGAGCACTTCCGTGGTCTCGACGGCAGCATCTTGCCGACATAGAGCATGCAAGCAGCATACGGACGCCGCCCGTGGATTACACCGCCCAGCTTCTTGTGAAAAAGACGATGCACATGATGATCATGGTGCCAGGCTTCTTGCGAGAGCTCGTCGTCGACCAACAGCTATGGCATGTGCTTTTTGCGTACGGCGTTGGAAGAATTGAGGCTTCCCGGTGCCACCTGCAGCACCAAAGCCGAGACAGTCTTGGTATCAGCTCCGGTGAGACAAGCGACGCCGCCCGTCGTCTGTGCAACGTCTTCTTTCGGAATCGGCAGCATGAGGAAAGATTGATACGGATGCTGAAAGAGACTTGCCTCGTGTCGACGTGGATTTGCGGCGACGCTCAGCGCCCCTTGTTGCTAGAGATATGCCGACAACGCCGCCGGCGAGTGGTGGAGGTGAGGAACAACCCGTGTAACGATGGTCATTAGCTACGCGCGATAGCAACACGGTCGAGTAACCTCCCATGATTGTTCGAATTTTGCGTTTGATGAACCCGTTCTCGGAACAAGCACTCCCACGACGTTCCCATCTGTGCAAAGATTTTCCGCATGTTGATTCCTACTGTAGCGTGATACAGAGTCACGAGGTTGGGTAGCCAATGTTGTCGGGAGGATTGACTAGCCCTATCCGTATGGCGCGTCCGTCCGATTGGTCCTTACGGTAGACTATCGCGATGCATTGTATAGGCGACCCATCGGAGTACGGGCGTGTTTTCCGGCAACACCAAGGGTATGCGCCAACGAAGAATTCGGACACATAGCCCATTCCCCCCTGTGGGGGGGGAAGTTTCGAAACGTTTCCACGAATCACCGACAAAATACGGCCCATTCGGTGAGCATTGGTGGCCTTCGGACGATCTTTTTCGACAATAATAAAGAACACACTTGCAATGTTGAATTACGTCACCCGACCAAGAGCTTGTATGGAGACACACGCACGCACCATTACGGGTGCATATCCAAGCGTGTACCACACCAATCTGCAGAGAAATGTTATAGTGTTAGTAAATGTAGAAAAGGCTCGCGACCACTGTAAGGTGTGTTTTTCGTTGGCCCTGTGCAACACGCGAACGAATCGTCCAGGGTGACAGGCAGGTGCGGAAAGTGTTTTTGGGTACTTGTTTATCCCCAGGCACGTAGTCCATAAATGAAGTGGGCTAGTTTGGTTTACAAACGACTACTTCATCCACGGCCAGGCAATCCGAAATGGGTTTCGCGCAAGAACACCCAAGTAAGCAAGGAGAGGCCATGTTTCCCTGGTCGCCCTCGGCCAGACAGGGGACAGACGGGCTAGAGGCTGCCGCGAAGACAACTGTGGGGGTCGCGGGGGGTTGGCCACCTCTCAGCGGTCACGAGGTCCAAGGACAACGTTCACACAGAGACAGACGAAGAAAGATCCGAAGCTCAGGGAGAACCTCTCCTTTAGAACACGTTAGGTGCCTTCCCCCGCGTCCCAAATCATCTCGCTCCCCTTCCCGCTGCCCAGATTCGATGTGTGCACCTATTTTGTCTTGGGATGTTTTCCGCGCATACCCTAGGCTGAATGTAGAGTGTTTGAGTTGAACGCTTTCTAATATTGGCCCACGTTGTTGATAAACGGGATTCAGGCGGTGGCTGCGGGCGCGCCTTTGGCGTTTTCGACCGCCGTGCCTGAATTGCTGGCGTTTGTTCGCGGGCCTGGTGTTCGAGGAAAGAAACAGCGACTTGCCGCATGGTTAGAGTCGAACACTGAAGGTTAGGCGCGTTGGTTCCGACTGAATATGCGGTAAGTCGTGTGCAGCGTTTCGAGTTGGTGCCAAGTTCACGTGGTTGCCAGGTCTTGCGTGTAGCATTCCTTGGTCGACGTTGGTCTTCTTGTGGTATCGCGTGTAGTGCACCAATTGGAGCTGCCCCCCTAACCTTGAGTATGAGTTTTTCCATTTCAACTCTGCATGCCACCGTTATTTAGTACATCTTCACCCTCTCCGTCTTGTCGGAACGAAACAATTTTCGTGCTCACCGCCTAGCCCGAAATATGTAGAACGAAAAAAATGATACGGCGCAAATATGTCCCACACTGTTTGCCAAGACCCAAACCTTTCCGGTTACTCCGCATAGCTCAATCTCTTCCCTGCTGGCCAGTCTACCTATCGGGACACACGCGTCCGGAGAGAGGCCGGCAATATTGTTATATTTCTTTTCTTAGGGTACCGTTCATCGATGTCCTCCTTGTACAATAATTCCATCGGAATTGCTCGTTTTTTTACGGCCATCGTTCCCCCTTCGTCGTCCGGACAAAGGGTGGGTCTGAACTACATCTCCCTTTTGGGTGTCACCTTCCACGATTTTCCATGAAATAAATCTTCTATGGCTTTTCCTTGGAAGCAACGGAAAGCTGTCAAGGACGTCACTGAAGCTGCTATGAAAGAACGTGGAAGCTTCCATGGAAGCTATGGAAGATGGAGGAAGCTGTCGCGACTACCATGGCAGTACCCAATGAATGTGCACCCACCAGCTACCATGCGTGATCGCAATGGGAGCTTTTGTGGCTGCCATGGCGTATCACTTCCATGTGGGGTTTCATGTGGCAGGTGATCCACTTCTTCCATGGGAACCAGTGAAACTCGGATGACCTCCTCCATGGTTTAGGGGCTCCCATAGAGGAGGAAGTCGTCGACAAGGTCCGAAGTCCTATGCATGCACTTACTTGTAGACTTTCGTTATCGTAATCCCACAAGCACGTTGGGTGCTTAAGGTCTACGTCAAAGCTGTACTCAGCGCTGATCATTTCACCGGCTCCGAATCTCCATGGCCGTATACATACTTACATCCAATGTTCTGACAGCATTGTAAATGTATCTGATTTCCACGAACTACGCTGAAGTTCCATTGAGGAAGTTCAAATGTAAGATTGGTAGGTGTTCTTATGGCATTTGGAGGTAGGCGGGTGACGATGCGTTACCATGATCGTTTGGCGTTGTAAGGCGCCATCAGCGTGCGATTGAGCTGGTCCGGCGTTTGTTGGACGCAAAACGGTTGAATGGCGAATACATGCAAGGTGACAAGAGAGCTACCACAAGGGAGAATCAAGAAAAGCAGAACAATCTGCATTTAAGTTGTCGAACTATGTAGTTCAACACAGCCAGCCAGATCCGGAAAGAGATGGTAGACAAAAGAAGATCTCAAAACAGTGTCAACGAGGATCCGATGCCTCTTAGCAACCGTGGGTTTGACTTTTTCAAGCTTTCACTGAGACCTTATTCACGACATCCCACGTGGCTTGGAAATGGCTACAGCCGAAAACTACAAGTGTAGGGCTCCTATGGGAAACTGTTGACGACTTCCTCTCCATGGACATGGAATCTCTAACACATATCATGGCAGTTATGGTTTCTGGAGGATTGAAATGCCACCGGTGGAGATCATTCAACTTCCACCGGCTCCATGGAAGTTGTCGGATGGCCGTCACGGAAGCTTCCATGGTAGTCACGGCAGCTCGGGAAGCACTTCCATGCGTTTCGCTCACAAACCCCATGGAAGCACGGCCATGGTGGGCACGGAAACCTCTACGGTTTCGATATCAGATGCGTCCGCGGCGTTTCATGGTAGCTTTCCAATGCTTCCTTGGACGTCGGGGAACCCCGTGTTTGCAAGCTCGTGGAAGCTGCCACAAGTACGGGGCTCGGCTACATGCAGTGTAGCAGAACCTGCAACGTTATGATTTTAGCTGTTGCGTGAAGCTTTACCCCCCCTTCGAAAGTTTGTACTCCAACAACACCGCCCACCCTCGTATTCTTCCGCAGCACTCTCCGCCACCAGCCACCACTACCGAAGTCGACTATTTACCACATGTCATAAATACATCTCTTCTCCGGACACTCGGGGGACGTTCCGTAGACGCTTTGCCTCCCCAAGCATCGAAGCTGGTGCGCAAAGGAAAACTCACGATGGTTCAAGTGCCGCTCAAACCACGAAGAGCCAATGAGCAACACACTAAATATATATAAGGAACTCGCGATAGCCCACGAAAGAAACACCGTGCCAAAGCACGAAAAGCAATCTACCATGCCCAAAGAAACGGAAACTCCCCGTACCCAAAAGGACGACGACGTATATTTTTCAAATCTAACGGAGCCATTCCAAGACTGCATCGCTGCACGACGGCTCACGAACCCCAAACAATCAACATCATGGTGGGTACCGGGACGGCACAAATGGGGCTGTTATGTACAACGCATGCAAGAGAAGTCTCCGTAAACCATGCCTGGAAACATGTACGACGCGTGCTTAGGTGGGCCGTAGGGCCAACCTGAACACACTCACTTGAACTACATGTAGTTGACAATTAAAAGTACCAGAAGTAATACAATATCACGTGCGCATACACCTAAATAAAACTGAAATTGAAACTCGTGCGGGAAAGGAATGGCAACTTATGTGCGCAACAGCATGGATATTATTAATCCCGCCGCACAAGAGAGCCGGCTACATACGCTGATAACGATCGCTCGGGGCAAAGACGCACTGCATGTCGCTTCGTTCCCGTTTTGGTGTTGCCGTCTGGAGTCATGGCGGCCCCCGCTGGTGCTGCTCACACCGGCGGGAAGGGGATTCTCCTTTTCTCGGCAGGATAAGGCACCTCCACCACCTCCTTGACAAAACATTTTCGAGCGACAGCAAATCCGAGAACAGAAACGGTGCAACGTTTGGCAATGATCCACAACAATCCACCGACCAAGGCGATCACGACTCATCGTTTCAAAAACATGACACGTACAACACGCTCGGTCCGTCGATGGTTCACCGACCAGAGAGGAGCTCGACACAATTTCTTTCGCAAACCAGGGTCAAAGCGAACTTCATGATGCTGGCTTGAGCCTGTGCACGTTGCTGCAAAACTGTGCCTGATGAGTGGCTATGGGTCGCATGTGCCAGGATGTCAGGATGCCGTGGCCTACACTAGAACCGAGGTCACCCCAGCCATAGCAGGTTAGGATTTGCAGCGAAGGAGACGTAAGGTGAAACGGTTGGCTCCTCGGCGACTCGAGTCACGAATGGCGAGAGAACGTCCGTAATATACCCCATGAAGGGTCCTCTGGTTTGCGTGCGTGGGCCAACGCTACTGCGGCAAGAACAGCAATAATCGTTACTGTACCTTCTTCCCCTCTTGTTCCCAGTATGGTCTCTCTTCGACCTGGGGACTGCTGTTGAAATCGTCTCTGCCCCCAGGGTGCTTGCTGTCGCCTATTCGGAGGCCTCCTAGCCCCTTTGTGACCGACTTCGTGAAGTTTCGAGGCTTGAGGTGTGGGTCTTGTCTAGATGCCGCCACAAAAAAGATGGGCCACATGATCATGAGAAGGTCTGAACAAGTATGGCGCAAACCCACAGCGAGCAAATGGGGAAAAAAGAACGCGCACAGTAGTCGGCGTGTTGGCGCCTGTAGGTCTCGAAAATTTCTCAGTGGCATCAAGAAACGCGTGAGCATGGACTCTCGCAGTAGAGGGAAGGGAAAGAGGATTGAACGAAGAATCAGTCAACGTGTCTGGCATTTTGGTGTGACGGAGCGTTTGGTTTCGGGCACCTTGATGCAGGTATCATCTGTGACACCCCCTGTGAGTCTTACCCCAGAAGCCGCCGACGTTGCCGAACATCTCGGCGAGGTCGAGAGGGTCGACCTCGGTGATAATCTCAAGCGAGTTGGGCTCCTGCTGGAACTGCAGCGATAGCTGGGCATAAGGCTTGACAATGGCCGGATTTACCTGTTTACGAAGAACGGTTGGCAGAGGGCGGTATCTGCTAAACATGTTGAGGGGTCCCACTACAAGCGATGGTGTAGAAGGGTAGACGGGCCGACGTTACTACCAGTACCTTCGTCGAACACCATCTGCACACAGCAGGTGACAACTCGATTTTCCAAAGGGAGTTTGACGCGCGCCAGATGGCCATGTGTGCCTCTCCCACCACAATGTCTGCACACATGTCTCGTGCCTGGTAAACGCTGTTCGCCTTGCTTTTCTCAAGCCCAAATTGTAGAAAGTCAAGCCCCCCGTGGCGCCTGAGAAAAAAGGCCGTTGCGATCCCATGGTAGGGCTACTCTCAAGAACGGAAGCAGTTCTTTTTCGGTGCGCCACCACCTTGTCTGGAATCGATCGCTTCGATTCAAGCTACGGTCGTGGTCACGTTGACATACCGTTTGACGTCTGTTCCAGTACCTCCCCCCCCTCCGTTTTACCTCATCCTTCACCGTCGCTGTCGATACCGATAGCGCCTTGTTGTTCACGATGGGTTCTTGGCCTAGCTTGTCCTCGATGGTAACTCCTATTCCCTGCCATACATGCCGAACGCAGTTACGTGTGAAAGTCGGGAAATGAGAGTCTCCGCGATCTGGAAACGGGCGTATCGATCCCCCAAATGAGTTAGTCAAGATAGAGTTGAAAACTCGAGTGTAGGAGGGAAGGTATCAACGTATGAAGACATGGCACGCGAGGGGCGGGTGAAAGCGTCAATGGCAGCTCCACAGCCACTTTGACGCTGAGAAAAAACACGGGGAAAAACCCACTCACTCTTGCTGTATGGCCGCAGCAAGAAAATACCAAACAGAACGAGCCTAACTATGAACAACGATCTACGGCTGTTCGAGAGGACATCCAACCTTGGCGCCCAGTCTCATGACAATAGGGCTGTGTCTTGGCGTTAAAGCGGTTTCATTCGAAGCTGTCTATTCAATCATGCAGTCACGAAGAACCACACGAACAAAAACAAACAGAACGGACGATGAGATGCACGCAAACAAGTAGGGTTCGTCAGGCGCTCCTGCGCACCACGTATGTGAAGGAGTGGCTGCTTGAGACGTTGGTGATGCAGCTGTAGGGGACTTGGATCCCGGTTGATACTCGTTCTGATTCTGGATCGTTCAAAAAGACGTACATCCATTGGCTGCGTGGTGCGCGACACGGGCAGGGTGTGCAGGAGGAACGGCTAGCCTTAACTCATGGAGGAGATGCACGCGTGCCGTATCAACGAGGGTGAAAGCCAGTGCCCAAACAAGGGCGGTAAGTCTGGAGGCTGTGCGTGGCGGGGACGAACGCTAGCTTTGCTACTGTTTTCGCAAGACGTCGACCAGGCACTCGTACTTGTTCCAACGTTTTGAACCAGGTCATGATGCACCCTGGGCGGGACCAAGTTTGACCTGGTAAGTGGTACCGGCCTCGAACCTATGGGGAGCTGGGCAAACCCGCCTTTTCGTTTCCCGGAAACGAACGTTTCTTCAACCAGAGTCAGAGTGCCACGCACACGACCACTCACCTACAAAAATTCACAGCGTCCGAATGCCAGGAAAGCCGACGCAACGATTTTGGGGGTACAACCATAGCAACACATTGGGCATTGACGCAACGGATCCGCATACAATACTCTCGGCGACACCGCATTCGTTCATGGTCAGGGATGTGAGGAACGCATCCCTCATCACCTATGAGAACCTCACTTGTGAGTTTTCCACCCCTCAACGACGCAAGTGTTGGAATCGGCTTCAAGGCCACCCGGGTACCAGTACATCTGCCGGGAAACGGTATTGGTGTCGTCAGTATCAGTCAGTAACAGGGGGAAGCGAGTGTTTGCTGCCGCCTCACGTAAGCAACGTTTGGATGGCAGTAGAGCGTGGGCAACAAACAGAGCGTACAATCTATGCCCGTCAATTCGGTCAGTACACCCAACGGCACGACTATACGAGGCCCGTTGTCTAGAATGATGGACATCACTCGCTTGCTAGATTAGGGCATGGATGTCGTTAGGATGCATCAAAGATTTCAAGTAATGATCACGACAAAGCTCATACTCACATCCAGGAGGAGGTAGTCTAGATAATACTTCGCGTCCCGCTCGCGATCGAGAAAGCGGGTAATTTTCGACGTCTGGAACTCCACGCACCAGCCGTTCTGTGGGATAGATGCAGACATTACGGAGTGAGGTGCGTGAAAGGCCATGAAGTTTGATATCCGTTCGACGTGACAACATGTTCACCCAAGGAAAGAACAGCAGGGCAGAAATCGGCCACAAGAAAGCTCCTTGGTTCACAGGCTAACCCTACAAAACACACTTGGAGGGAGAACATCTGGTCTACTAATTCTGTAAAGCTTGGAAATACACGAAAAAACGAAGAGAGTGTGTCACCCGACGCCCGCGCTTTGTTGGATTTGTTGGACACGGCTCTTCGCGTGAGTTGGACAAGAACGAATCACCAAAAGCTACAAGCGATTGGAAAATTACAGAACACTCAACCAAGAGTGGAATGTTTAGGGAACTAAACGATTAACTTACATTTACGGCCGGGGTTCCACGATGGAAACAAGGTCAACGTTAAGGGCCCTTAACCCCTCGAACAAATCACCACCCAGAGTAATCTGATAAATACGCACATACGCTCATGGGAGGGACTCTCACGTTTGAATAGGTACACCCGGGGGGAATACGTATCTACAACGAGACTACGGTACCGTAGGTTGCGCAAGATACCACACCCCCTGGACAAAATTTCAAGCCTCTTTTATTCCACGACCAAGAGGATCCCCAAATCAAATATGAGTACATTTTCGGAAAGCGATGAGACATCCATTGCCGCCATTTCCGGCACCGCCGCTATCGACTGTCTTCCCGTCAAGTAATCGGGCTTTGAAAATCGGTCCAGGGGGTGTGGTATCTTGTGCAACCGACGGTACACGTGACTTCGCTCACGTTCGGGGTCAGCTTTCCCTCCACGTGAATCTCCTGCTCGTAGACCCCGCCTGGGTAGTACACGGCACTCGAATTGCCCCATCCTGTCCTGTTGCCGGTTGCACTTGTCATGCACTCATTCTCCAATTCCCACTCGTCGCAGCCGTAGGCGACGTAGAGGCACACCCAAATATCCGGGTACTCGAATACGGTGTTCTGCGGGAGGAGAGGACCACCAAAGCCGATGCATCAACTATCGAGCAGCACACATACAACAATTACAATCTAAACGGAACGAGGCAACTAGAATGCCCACTTTTGCCCCTCTGCTGAGAAAGCAAAATTGTGCCACAACATCAAGCGCATGGTGCCTTGCTTCCACGGAAACTCACGTGCCTGTTACACGAAAGAGTTGGCTACCGCTCATTCGTCCGCCTGAAGTTTGAGGCGCGCGCAGTTGATTCCGCGTCAAAGACTTGTGGTGTATGCATTCGTTTCTCATGTCTGGTATGACGGGAAGACGTCCTTTCCGGCCCATAGTCTACACGAGGTTTCTCGGTGAACGTACACCTGCTTGTCGTCTCTTTCCCCAGTGGTAACTGCGGTGATGATGCGTTCGCTGCCTCTCCTTCCCCGACACAGCGCGAACTGTCTCGTCTCATCTACAGGGCACGATACGCCTCTTCTGTGACAACGATTTAGAAGCGTTCGGAACCGACCAGCCAGGTTCGGGCCGCTCTTGCAAGGCTTCGAACAAGGAGATCTGATGATGAAGGCTTCGGTGCATGGATGGATGAATCTGGAACAACACGTCCTGGAAGTTTCGTTCGGACCACCGCATCATCGCAAAAGAAATGAAGCGACCGATCCTCCGTACCGTTCTCTCCGTTCTCTTCCCCCCGTTCAGTTTTGTTTCTTCGTCTACACCCATTTCCGTCGCGAGGTGTTCCGTGTTTGAACCGAAACGCAAATCTACAGTTCGATCCGTCAAGAACTTGAACCCGTTTGTTCGTGTCTCAATCGGCGTGACTTTGTGTCCACTACCACTGCATTAATTCGACAACGATGTGTTCACTTTCCCTGGCGATCACGAACTCGTCTGACCCACCTCCTGCAAGTGCTAAGCAAACGCTTAGTCGATAAGCATGAACGAGCATTTGCTGTGCATGGAACAGAGTCAATCGTAAGCCACCTCGTACCGATAGCTCGATGGACGCATCAGGGTTCTCGCGCTTGCGAACGGCCGTGTACAGCAGATACGAAGAATCTGCGACAGAGCACAAGACGCCAATTCGTGGTGCGGGATGCAGCAGTAGCGACAACGAACGATTTTCCGGCGGTGAGAACGGTCGCAGTTGGGGCATAGGGTGGCTTGATCAAGACCATATCCATCATCCGATTGGCAAATGTATCTCAGCCGGTTGCGGGGATGCACCTCTGTCCACGATGCTGTAATGCAAGCGATTGTGCTCAAGGATGGGGATGGTGTGGGACACCCTCGTTGGCAACTACGCAGCACTGTCTCTCTCGGTGAAGTTGGGAGTATTGAGTCCTTCCGGTCGCAGGCCACAACGCCTACAGACCCCACCCAGGGTCGATTGTTTGTCCTGCACCAAAACTATAACTTCAGATGGCGCCGTAAAAACCTACAGGTTGTTGCCACCAACAGGAGGGTGCAGACTGCAGACACCAGCCAGAGAGTGCCAACATGAACCATTTGAGCCCGCATGGCACTTGCAGCTGGTCTCACGTTCTGACAAATACATGCTACGACATTTTCGGCTGCACCATCGACAAGCGTGCGCCCGCGGACATAAAATGCTCACAGAAAATGATGCCCCCGATGAGGATCGTCCAAAGCGCCACCGCTCTGCGCTTGTGTTGCGGCACGACCTCGTCTGGTCTCCTAGAAGCGTACAAGGTAAAACACACGTCGCCAAAACATTGATCTTGGAATAACGACGACCGCAATTGCAAGCTCAAATATTGATACCGCCTCGACGCCTCGAGAACATAAATATCCGGGGGCATACAGATCTGCACCGGTCCCTCAAACTTCGACACTCCCACTGCCATCCCCCGAAGGGGCCAAGTCGACTCTTCTGTGCGCGAGATCCGTGAACGGTGGAAAACTCATGGGCGACCACCACGCTCATGAATGTATCCTGAAAATGGAAAGCGCGTGTGGCTGCAATATCCTCCCACAGTGCAATTCACAAAGCTTTTCAGTCCTGCCGGTGTGTACTGCGAGTTCGCAGAAACCTGATGCCAGGACTTGTGCTTTCGGATGCTTTCATGAAGTGGTGTGCGGTTCGATGGCCTATCCCGTGTTGGTACGATGTGTGTCTGCCTCACCACATGCCGGTGTAGAGATTTATCCAGGCAGAAACGCCCCGCTTCACCCAGGCACTGTCGACGAAGCTGCTGAGAGGAGGACAGTGGTTGGTTGTATGGATAGGAAACAGAAAACGCGGGGCAGATTGCATCAAGTCAACGTTGGGCGAACTGCTCAATGTCGCCCACGACGTGGGTTCATCAAAGGGTCGTCGGATGCGCCGGGAAGGATTGAGTCAAAGATTAACTCGCGTAAACTGCTTCACGTTGTGTGGCATCACGTGCCTAGCCGGAGCTATGGGCCTTCCATGCAATCGTTGATACGTCTCTCCTTTGTCCGATACGTTACCAATGACGACTTCCGACTGTTGTCTGGCTAGGGCCACTCTTTTTCCTTTCGGCTTGTTTCGTGCTGTGTTACGGCGACATTTGCATGTTTCTCTGGGGTCCTTATGTTTGCTCTCTTTGGATGTTAGGTACTGCTGTGCAGAGACCGAATGGGTTCAACAAGAGCGAGGAGAAATGCCAGGCGAGGGCGATGATAACAATGAGCGATGGTCTGCTCACAGGTAGAAGAGTATCGCCGCCCCGTGTTGCAGCCCCAACCGTGAGCATTCACTTAGATACAACTAGACATACTCATCATCAATCGCACCGAACGACATTAATCAGTAAGCTTTCCCGCCTTTCTCCATCCTCGGGTCGGTATATCCTTGTTTTAGCAGGGTGGTCACGGTTTTCGGGAACATTTGGGGTGCTCCAAAAATAACAGCAAAGTCATCGCGCTACAAAGTTCCGCGGTACGTAAGATTGTTTGTAAAGCTGTAGTCTAGGCAAAATGTGGTTTGTTGAGGTTCGCTGGGCTATCAGTATTTTTTTTTTCCTGAATATGACCCAACCAATCCATCTCTATCTAAGAAAAGAGTTACATGAGTTATTGAACTTTGGGAAACGTCTCCTGGCAGCTGGCAGTCAGTTGTAGGTGTGATGGCATTGCTGTGCTCTCACGAGCCCCACTGCAGGAGGGATCACTTGCAGACACTAATTTCACCGAGACTCTCGCGGGTAGTTTTTGAGCCACAAGATATCCCTTGTGGTTCAGTCAATTTACGAGTGGATGTTGTCTCTTTTCTTTCTCCACACAGAAATCAATACGGTTTGGGCTAGGCTTTTCCCCCGTAGGCGACCGCCGAAAACACCGAATTCCGAAATATGTCGCCGTAAAAAAAACTGCCCGCCGAAAACCAAAAAGTAGCGCTGTTTTTGGAGGGGGCTCCGCCGAATCATGGGTTGAGGTCGCCGATTCTCGCCGATTAATTTCACGGTGCCGATTAATTTCGAAGATGCCAACAGCGTCGGCGGCGGTAGCGACCAGAGCGATGGCAGCGATGAAGAAAGCGACTGATGACCTATGTTTCAGTTAGTTAGCGTAACATGCAAGATGTAGTTTGTAGAAAAATAAGAGAAGGACGAAGGACACATCATTTCGCTTTTCGCGGACAGGTGACAGGTGACCTCCGCAGCAGTCCAACCGCGTCGCGACCCGCTCGTTTGTGTTACTGGAAGTACATGCTATGTACGTCGCCGAAAATCGCCAACAATCACCGAACTGAACTATGACTCGCCGAAAAACATGTGGAAGTCGCCGAAAGTCGCCGAAAAAGGCGTTTTTGGCACTAAAAAAAAATAGCCGAAAAATTCCGTGAAACGCCGCAAAAAAAAAAAAAACATCGCCCTTGCCTACGGGGGAAAAGCCTAGTTTTGGCGCTGCTGCTGCTGCTGCCGCCGCTGTGCTACTGCTGTACAATGAAGGGATGCTGGCAATTATAACTATTCGGCCGAGCGCCAGCCGCCCGGTAACATTTACTTCAGTATCAAACACAATATGTCCCTCATGTCCCTATCGCAATGGTACAGCAGTGTAAGTAGACGACAGCTCACATCACCCGCCGGTTGAAGGTTGAAGGATCAGCCGATTGCACCGGTCAGTTGGGGGGGGCGGGTGTGCGGAATGTGTAACGTCATGCATTTAATTCTGGACACGACCGAACGAGAAAGAACCAGTGGCTTTTTCCTCGAATTTTTTTTCTCCTCTGTAAGAGGTTTACTCGAGCGAGATCACCGACTGTAAGGTGAGCATCCGTAGTTAGAGCCACAGGTACAAGAGGTCTGCTGGTCTTGAACACGTCGTGAGTTTATGGCTAACAGCACAGGATTTTCATCCACAGGCAGCAAGCAGAGACGATTTGTTCATTGCCGAAGAAACACAAAAGCGCCGCAATCGGCAGGTGCCGCCAAAGTCCACAAAAGCGGACGGACTGCCCAAACGCCCATAATCAAATCTGCTCCGAAGCAGATATCTACTACTGTAACCCGCACACAGGAATGCTCGACGCTTCGATTTGGATGGAATCGTACGCGATCAGCCTGCCTGCCCTGGTTGCGCCACGCGCATGGCGAACACCGGCGTCCGCTTGCTAGGGTGTGTGTTTCCACGCGAACTTGTTCCCTGTACGCGTGCATCACAAGCGTCTTCACAACCAAAGACTGGTCTATTATTAATAATTAGTCTATTTCCCAACAGATGTGATACACAGCAGTGCTCGCTGCTGTGGCACACAGACAGCGTCATTGATTGTTGATCGAGAGTCGTCGACCATCACAAGCGGCCTGCTACGTTGCTGTCCAGGTGCCTATTCAGCCGCTTGGCGGTTGTTGTCCTCGTAGAAACAGCAAGAGCAAGCACCCTGCCTCGTTCGAGCTGTGGTAGCAACAAGGCGGCAAGATTAATCTGAAAACACCTGATGATGATGACGTGCACAGCTGTTGGTTGAAGTTTACTCGTGACACACAGTAGTACACTACGGCGTCTGCTCTGAAGGGCACCTGCATATGGTAAAGGCTTACCGAGAAAGATGAACTTGGTGGCTGGGGGCTGGCGTTGGGGCGAGTTGTGACAGGCACCTGGTGCGGGCTTCCTTGCGGGGTATAAAGATGAATGTAACGACGGCTGCGTGGGTGCGCCGGGCCCATGTGCGCCGCGGGGGGACGCCAGACATGATGAGAACAAATGATTCTTGAGAATATTTTTCTATTTTTTCAAGAAGTTTTCAGTTTTTTTTCATGCGTCTCGTATGCCTCAGATACGTCCCGCAGACATGTGTGATCGGCGAAAAGCGAGACACAGATCCTATTCGTAAAGACACGCATGATTACGGACACTGTATGTCTTGCCCCCGTTCGATGGCACTGAAGGAATGAACGGTTGACTGTGGAGATAACACGCGATCGCAAGGTATTCATCACGTGGATAGTACAATATAGCAGTATTGGCAACAAAAATCACCAAAAATTGTACTGCTTTATGCATAAATTGGACTTCTTCCATGGGTAGTCCATGCACACGGGAGTCTATGCATAGTCTACAGTTCGTACTCCACCACTGATGAATGACCAATCTCTTAAAAAATCACCCCCTCTGGGTATTCAGTTGATGATCAAACCCCGGCCAGCTGAATCGCAAGCCTGTCAACTCTCCGGCCAGCTGAATCGCAAGCCTGTCAACTCTCCTCACTATCAACCAGTGTTCCCAGACCCGGTACACCACTAACGAACCCTCTCGTCCTGGCTCTTTCCACGGCGACGGCCTGGTTTTCATAGACTTCGAGCAGGATTCTCCGGTACAGTTTAGTCTACAGAAAGGTCAACAAATACTACTGCTGTGCCGTACAATACGTCGCAGTACACCAAATAAATCACCATTCTCGTGCGCGCTTTGACGAAACACTACCAGCAGGCGAGCCTGGAATGCTAGATGCGTTGAGGTGAGCCTGGAATGAACAGGGCTGGGAGAAGAACGACTCCCTTTTGGCGGGGGGGGGGTCCGGAAAAAATCATCGGATATGCATACTTGTACGACGACTGAGCGGGCAACATCGATCGCCACCCGATCGAACCGACCATGGGCAAAGAATGCCGGGGTTGTTTTGCCACGAAACGCAGGGAGCGACAACCACCGTAGTTTCGACAAGCACCGATAACAGATCGCGACGGGTCGTACCCTCTTTCTACTTCTCCGCGTGAAAGGATGAAGAGGCTGGGGGAATTCTAAGAACCGTCGAAGTGAATGAACGTACTCTGGCGGTTGGTGGTTGGCCGTCGCTGGAGACGAGATGGGTCTTTTTCTATTCATGGTTCGAAGGAACGGGATGGGAAAAGTCAAGTTCCGCACGGGGTTGACCGCATGGATGGGATGGAACGTACTTGGTGTGAAACGAATACGCGTTTTCGCGCCGTCTGGGCAGTTAAGGTCGCCAATCTGTACACCAGCCGGATTATGTACTTTTGCTACGCAAAGCCGGGGTCACATAGGAGGAAGGTGAACGCAAGGGGGGGGCGCGAGACTTTTCGTGGCGACCACAGACCTCCCCGATCTGTCCGTCTCGCCTGAACGGCTCACTCCATGCCGATGATCTAGCTTCTTCCGCGCATGATTGAATCGCCGCAGGAGCACCGAAATCCACCCCTCACATGGTGGGGTGCTGACGTCCACGTACCCCAAGCGAAGGGAGAGGAGGCGAAGGGGGTTGATACAACAACAGTGGCAATACCACGCGAGGCATGTCGTGCCCTGCGCACGACGGCATCTACATTCTTCTCAGAAAGCTTCGAGGTTGTCTCGAAAGGGAAGAAGGATAAAATTGTTTCAAGGGCCGCTCGGAGCAAAAAAAAAAAAAAACAGCGTCCATTATCGGAGCCAACACAAAACACAGGCAACGCACTCACTCGCGGCAAAACCATGCTGCAACCCGAAACAAGCCAATAATTGCAATGCGACACAGAGACCACCACCCCATTCAACACAGACGACACGGTACGATGTACAAGTAAAAGGGAAGTAACAACACTCACGGTGAGTAAAATTTTCAATGGTGACAAAAACGGGGGCGACACTGGGAGGGCTACTATTTACAAAGCCAAAGGGAGTCAAACGTGTGCTATGACCGAAACATTCGACGAGCCTTGCTAGGGTGGGTTTCGCGGGCAATCTCAAACAGATTTTGTACCGACACCTTCAAAAAAACGGAAAACCTACGCAATTCGTAAGTACAGACACATCGCCGAGGGTAATGGATAGGATAACTAATCAATGCTTGTGGATCATCAATTTCATTTCGCCACAGCCGTGATGGATGAACTTCTATTTTCGGTTGTGGTGGTTGCTCGGGCCGAAGGCGCAGGAGCACATGTATGCTGTTTCCCTCCCATTCTGGTGGTGCCGCCTGGCTTCATTTCCGGCCTCCACTAGTGCACCTCACACCGGCGAGCGATGGACCGACTTTTTGGAAGTGGGATGGTCCAACTCCACGACCGCCTGAAAAAACGGTTCCGGTGACAATGCATAGGTTACAGGTGCGAAGTGGGACCTTTGAGTGTGATCCTCAATGGTGACAAAAAGAAAACGGTGCATACCGTCGGCGACGTAAGATATTTCACCCCCTAGACCGTTTTTCAAAGCTCGATCACCCCACCACGAAGAGCATGTCTACATCACACGACACGATCTTGGAAAGCTCTCGACGAGGCGGTGCCAACGCCGCATTTATCGGGACCACCATTCGTTCTGCTGGTGTGGAGCAATCGATCTTTAAAAATCCGGTCGAGGGCGTGAGATACCTTGTGTCACCTAAGGTAGGAATCGAAACGCACTACGCATACTTCCTACACGTCCGAAAAATCATTGCACCACAGCCTAGCAAGGTGTCGAACCTACTTTAATCGCCAACCAGAGCCACAACGAAATTCGCTTCGACAAGCGGGCTTCACGCTGTGCTGTTGTTGAATTGTGCATGCATTGCGCAACGCGGATCACGACTTGACGGAAATCTCACCAGCCACAAAAATGCCAAAAGGTCAGAGCCAAATGAGCTCCCCAAAACCTTGGGTAGTTGGGTCCTCTGAACGATCACCGGACGAACTGGAGCCACGGCTGGCGAGGAAACGTCGGCAAAATATACCAGAGAAGGATCCTCTGACTAGTGTCGCCGACCAGTACACCAACAGTGCCGCAACAAACCGTACCTGTCTTCCCTTTCGTTCCCAGTGAGGCTTCTCTTCCTCGTCTTCGGGATTGCTGCTGCCATCTTTTCTTGTCCCAGCGGTCACTAGTTCGCCTATTCGGAGGCCTTCAAGCCCCTTCGCGACCGACTTCTTGAAGTTTCGGGGCTTGAGGTGTGGGTCTTGTCTAGACGCCGCCACAAAGAAGATAGGCCACACGAGCATGAGAAGGTCTGAAGAGAGAGCACGGCGAAAAACCACAGAGGGCAAAAGGGGGACGAAAGGCAAGCGTATTATTGTCTCTTGTAGGCGTTCTGACATCTCCCAGTTGCATCATGAACATCACGTCTCGCATTTGAACGATGGAAAGCAAGGGGTGGTACGAAAAAGCTCGGCCGAGATCATGTCTATTGTTGGTGTCACGGATCGGCTGACTTCGTGCCGCTTGATGTGGGTTTCATCCGCGACACCCCCTGTGAGTCTTACCCCAGAAGCCGCCGACATTGCCGAACATCTCGGCGAGGTCGAAGGGGTCATTCTCCGTGATAACCTCAAGCGAGTTGGGTTCCTGCTGGAACTGCAGCGACAGCTGGGCGTAAGGCTTGTCGATGGCCGCATTCACCTGACAAGGGAGGTTTGACAGAGAAAAAACAGCGGGTAAAACATGTTCAGGACTCCCCGAGATCACAACCAAATTCTGTGATTCGACAACAGTATGGTTGTACAAGGCCGATATCGCTACTTTGCACGGATTTCACAGCAACATTCGTCTGTCTCGCCACAACCTTGGGTAGAGATTCAAGGTGCTGGCTTTTTGCGCGGGAAAACAAATCCTGACTACCGTCCTGCATACTGTAGCACCTCCCCTTCCAGTTCACCTTATCCTTGTGTGTCGCCGTCGATACCGACAGCGCCTTGTTGGTAGCGACGGGTTCTTCGCCTAGCCTTTCCTCGATGGTAACCCCCATCCCCTGTTGTGTCATGACCATGGCACACAGAGTATTAGTGGGCTGCATCACTATTTACTAGTAACCATATGCATAACAATCGTCTCTTGTCGCTACCTCTTCGCGATGAGTCAAGACAGCGGGTGCAATGAGGAGTGGATGGACAGGAAAAAAGGACAGCATCGTGCGGTCCGATGCAGCCGATAACAGGCACCGATCGTGTTGAGCAGCGTGCCGGGGACGCATCCACTCGCTATCGCACCAGAGATCGTGTTAAGATCTCGGGAGAGTGTGTTTGCCCTACCCTGAAGCAAACGTGGTGTCGAACGAGCAAGCTGGTTCGAGATCGAGCAGATTCGCTCGAATGAACAACAACAAATAGCAAATTACTAACGACGAAGACGACGACACACCAAGCAAGCATGCTCCGCTCAGCGCTCCCATGTACGCACCACGTATGTGAAGGAGTGGCTGCTTGAGACGTTGGTGATGCAGCTGTAGGGGACTTGGATCCCGGTTGAAACTAGGCCTGATTCTGGATATCCTGAATCTTTCAGCTTCACGTACATCCATTCGCTGCGGGGGGCCGAAAAAACAAGGGTGTGCAGGAGGAACGGTTACCAACAGCTCGTGAGACGATGTACATACATGTGCAGCGGGAACGCGAACGTGGGGAGGAGGTACGCCGCAACGCGCTATACACGCTTTCCTGGCTAGGTGGTAGTCGTCCCGATTCACATGTGGCAGCAAGGGTTGCTGAATATCGTAAACCTCTATACCACAAAAACCAGGGGGATATTGATCAGGCCAAATACACCCTCTTGAAATAGTCGCGGTGAAATCAAGACTGTTTTCGAATCAGGGCGAAGAGACGGGGTCGGAGGTAGGCGTGGAACCAAGGCTCGACTGAAGTGGCACCTTAAAACCGGTGTGGATACAGGCCTTCGCCGAAACGGGCTTCGAGACAAACCGCTCGAGGCTCGGGCTCGAAAAAAAATCGCGTCTAGCATGCTCGGGGACACGCCGTGTGTGCCCGAAAACCTCACCTGTGAGGCTCCCACCCCTCAACGACGCAAGTGTTCGAATCGCTCTCAGTGCCTCCGGGATACCAGTACATCTGCAGGGAAAACGGTGCCGGTATTGTCAGCAAGTAGTGCAAGGGAGTGAACGTTCCGCCGCAGCAATAAACAGTTCGGTCGGGGTAATTTAAGCGACAACGAGAGTACTCTCTGCGCCATTCGGATTTCACTCCCTGGGAACATTCTGTTGGGGGCGCATGGTCCACATCCACTCCTGAACAGATTCTGGAGCGGGTACATGGTCAATATCTTCACTCCCTGGCAATATTCTGTAGCGCTGCATGCTCCACATTCGCTCCCAATCAGTTCCTTAGGAGGTGTATGGTCGACATTCACTCCCCGGTATCATTCGTGAGGGGGTGCAGGGTCGACAATCACTCCCTGGGAAAAATGTGTAGGGTAAACCTTTTGAAGCATCTACGTCCCCAAGCGTTTTTCACGGCAACGCTCATGCTCACATCCAGGAGGAGGTAGTCTAGATAGTAGCTCGCGTTTCGTTCTTGACCGAGAAATTGGGAAATTGTCGAAGTCTCGAACTCCACGCACCAGCCATCCTGCGTGGGGATTGTTTGTAGACAACACGGAGCGAGGCACGTGAAAAGGACGTCAAATTGAACATCGTTTTTAAAATGAGTCCACTCGAGGCAGGGCAAGACTTAGCGAAAGCACCTACAGCAAGTAGATAGGAATGCGTTTCTCGGTGGTCGCAGGACAGCCCCACGGAGGGACATGCAATGGAAATCTCAGGGCGAAGATCAGGCCTGAGCGAGCACTAGCGGCGACACGTACTACTGTACAGTTAGACTTTGGAAACCGCATCAAACAGGCGTTTTTCCTGGGTTGCTGAAGGGGAGACCGGCATAACTCCCCCGCCCCCGAAAGCGTTGAGAATTGCACCACACCCAACATTTAGCTGCCATCCTTGCCTGCGCTGCGAACCCAAAAACTGGTGCATCTACTCAAAAATTCCCGCCCACGCCCCCGCGCATCGTGACGTGGAAAGCCCCTCTCCACGATGATAAGCTGGACAATGTCGTGCACGATGTTCATTTCTGAGCAAAGCCGCAATATACTCCTCGGCACACACGAAGTTACATGGTTGCGAGTGATGATACATTCGACCCCCTGGGTGTGCGGGGACACACCAAAAAGAAGCTGCCTCACCCCCCCAGGAGAAACAGATATTCACACCAGACATGTAACCAACAAAAGGCAGCCCATGCGCGAAACAACGCTAGCTCCTCCTTCTCCTCCTCCTCCTCCGCCTCCTTCTCCTCCTCTTCAGCTTGACACGGTCTGCTTAATTCCCTGGGGAACATACTTCAACAAGAACAAGCGATTTGCGCGTTCAATGTCGACTTTCTCACCTCGGGTGTCAGCATTCCCACACCGGGGATCGTCTGCTCGTACTCCCCGCCTGGGTAGAACACGGCGCTCGTGTTGCCCCATCCGGTCAGTTGGGCAGATTCCATGCACTCCTCCTCAAGCTCCCAACTATCGCAGCCATATTCGCCGTAGAGGCATACCCAAATATCTGGGTACTCGTACACGGTGTTCTGCGGGAGGAGCAGGAGGAGCAGACCATCGGGAGACAGCAGGCATCAAAGCCAACAATCTCTAAGAGAGGAAGATAATCGTTTTCCGCGATTAGGACAGCGCTCGTACTACGCGAATGAATAGGAATTTCCCCGCTACATTGCCCCCACATTCTGCAACGTCAGGCTGACGCTTTCCACGCGGCAGTTTCCGCGTAGCAGGAGGTTCCGCGTATCGGTTCCGCGCAGTGGTTTCCACGTAGCAGTCATTCATTCCGTGCGTATTCCAACGGAACTGCTTAGTGCAAGTCAAGATCGGAGTGAATTCGTTTTGATATTTTTCTGTCAGTGGACCATGTGCATCCGACCCTGGGAAGTGCATGCCGTGTAGCACTTGATGTTTTCAGCTCCGGTGGGACAAATGTTTCCTTGTGGGGATCCGGAGCTACCGTTTGCAAACGAAGTGTTTTCAGCTTGCCTTGGTGATCACTAGCTCTTCAGACCCACCGTCTTGAATCGATTGCTTTGCAACACACACTTCCATCAACAGCTGGCTCTGCATGGACCAACGACCCTCACTCGTAGTGGAAGTTACGTCAAATATTGCCAGCATCGTCTGGGCAACGCGGCACCCCACCCGCAACTATTCATCTCTCACCGAAACCTCGAAGGACACGCTCGGATTATTGCGCTTCCCCAGGGCTTGGTACAAAATAAGTGAAGAATCTGCGCGGTGTGCAGCGGTGACAGGAAACAGTTGCCCGTGGAAGTGAGGTCGCAGGTCGGTGCTAGTACTGCGGGCGGCTTGATTACTGGATAGAATATCCCTCAACCAACGGACACCTCTCCCACCACTCTGGAGCGCGCGCTTCATAGTAGTACCGTCGTTATGAGCATTTCTGCTCCGGGGCCACGGTGGGGGGGGTACCAACGCCAACGAGGGGGTGCACACGCTACAAGCAAAACATATGTCTTTCGGCAAAACTTCTTCCACAGACGCTTGTTTTGTACAATATTATGATATTCTAGTCGGTCATGTACTTAAACCCTGAGTTTTTGTTAAGACACACGAATTTTGTAGGCCTACATGCCTGGCGAAGCAGTCGACGGGGGGTTGGCAACTCCCCGTCGTATAACCGTGTGCACGGCAGTCGGTGAGGAATTACATTGCAGTATTGACGAACAAACCTAGCAAAGAAAAAAGTGTGCACTCACATAAAATGATGCCCCCTATCAGGACCGTCCAAAGCGCCACCGCTCGGCGCTTGTGTTGCGGCAAGACCTCGTCTGGTCTCCTGGACATGCAATCGTACACCGAAAGGCGAGGTCAACGCGGCAGTACAACGCTTCGCGTTGGGCACAAGACAGTTGTCTGGGTGATTAATTGCAAGCGAGCTCGAATTCGGCCTCGAGGCTCGCGAAAAGGGACGAACTTGCGGGTCGGCATGCCATGCGTGTTTGAGTACCATTGTTCAAAACATGAAAGTTCTGGCGGTCATTTCAACGGAGGCGCTTCGCTAAAACAAGGAGGTTCGCGCCGGGCGCGGGAAAAAGGGCAACTGGGCGTGCAAAACCACCGTCACACCAATGTATGTCTCACCACATTGATTGCCGGTGGTGTAGCCCTTGTAGATGCCAAAATACGAAGAAACAAGTGCTCTCCTGCAGGAACACCCTCCAGCCAGCTAGCCCACTATTAATATGCTGTTCAGAGAGGAGGATGGTAGTACAGTGAAGGAGCAGCGAGGCAGGAGGAAAAAAAAAAGACGGTGAAAACCAAGTCAACAAGACGGACTGCTCTCGAACCGCGACGTCAACAAGGGTGCACACGACCATATGCGATTCCGCGTGATAGGGACATGTTATGAACATGTATGTCCACCCCGTGCCTCGTATGTCCACACGTCGTCGACACCTTCGGCATGTTGACAAAAATTTCCCTCACGTTGTCCTCACCGGTATTTTTCTGTGATTGACAATGAACAAAAAGGGAGCAACCTACTACACACGAAGTACGGCTGCGTATCTTGCGCGACGTAGATACTCCAGTAGGGACACAGGAGCGGCAGCAACAACAGCAGCAGGTAGACTACTACCGTGTGCCGCAAGGCAGTCGATGCGGGTGTCTCAACTTGCACAGCTCATAATGGACGTCCAACCATAACATACATGAACTACAGCAGAACACATTCATGCGGTTGAAGTCCTCGCAGGGCGGGTATGCTGGAAGGGATGACGGAAAAGCAGCAAAATACGTACACGCACATGTACATGTCGAGAGGCGGGTGGGGTAGTTGCTGCTGCACTGCAGCCTCCAATGCATGTCCGCGATGCATCACTATGTCGATGCGATGCATCTCTATCTCGATGCATCTGCATATATATCTCCTCAACTTGGTCTCCTGTTCAAGTTGGTGGTAGATTTACTTGTTACGGCACCTAAAAACCAGCTGCTGTGGTCAAGTGCTGCGGACACCGAACAGGCGTCACGTAAAATACAGTTTTCCTGCTACATGCACAGGTAGAGACTCTTTGCCCGGCTCTGGTAGGTGGCCTACACTCCTCATGCACACCGAATGCCCATATTCAGGTGCAGTGTATGCATCCGCATATATATCATAAAACGTAAAAGAAACTGGCAAAGTTCTCGACACATGGCGAGGCGAACACCCAACCACGTGTACCATCCAGCGGAAGGCAAGAGGCACGCTTTGTTCCGCCCCCCGGCGAAAAGGGCAGACCCATCGAATCTCTCGCCGTCTGATCTCGAATAAACACCGTCGCACACATATACACAACATTGAGCGCCAATGTTGGCTTCAACCACAAGTCGCCTCTGGTACTGCTCGAGCACACACGCCGTGTGAAATCAGCGTGCTCCTTCGCAGCTGTCGTTATCTTCGGAGAGCCCCCCCCTGGTTGACACCATTCCTTCGGAGGAGGCATCCGCACACGAACGAAAAATTCGTGGCAGTTTTACTATTTTCTGCTGTGTAGTGTATCCGACGTCTTTGTTGCTGCCACAGGCTGAGCGCTTACCGCGGAAGGTTGGGCTCGGTGATCCAGGCCTGGTCTTGTCGGGCTTGTGACAAAACAGGGGGCCCTCCTGCGTTTGTCTGTTTTGGTGACGCGCGACTGAAACACACAAACTCCGCCTCTCTTTGGGCATGTGTGCGTGCCATGTGACCTGCTGTCATCCAGAAGAAGAAAAAAATGAAAAAACGGGCGCTTTATTCCGGGGTGTTGAGAAATTTCCTAGGGCCGCTGGCGAACAACAAGCACCAAGCTTTCGGGGAGATGCCAATTGATGCCACTGCCATGCGTTGCACAATTTACCGCGCAGCCGGCAGGAAGCGGGCCCAGATTTAATTGCTTGTATGTACATATCCCACCCCCTGCTTTCGAACTACTGTGGCCTTGGCAGCATGGGCGAGCGTGGAGAAACGCCAAACAGATCTACGCTGTACATAAAAAAAAAACAAATGAGCAGCTCCAGTTTCGAAACTTTCGGTATCCAGGACAGGGTGGTCCCAGGAACGCCTTGTTTATTTTATTCTGAAAGTCTATCATGCTATTGTATGAGTACAGCAGTGAGGAGAATATGCCAAGTGCTCCCTACACAAACGGCCTATCGTCAATTTGCTACACACCAATATGTATATTCCGCATTTCAATCTGCTACCGTTCGAGAGCGAAACGGATGGATGCGTACGTATATATGGAGAGTCTTCAGCCTACAACGATTCCGCCGTGTCTCCGAAGTTACTCCATGACGGAAAGACTGCATGAACCCTTCGAGATCGTACCACAGCAGTCGAAGGGAGGTGCGCAATTAAGACTTTTGAAGCGAGTGGGGGAAGGAAGCGGTTTCTTCTTCGTCTTGCTTTTTGGAAGAAATGTTTCATGTGCTTGTGGGCTCCAGTTTACGTCGTTGGTTGCACACATCCAATGTGTTTACCGCAGAAGTCGGGACAATACCGGAGGAATTCTCCAGCTTTCGTCCTGCGGTGCATGCCTTTTGACGTGAACGCGACGAGGGTTCACAAACAGGTCCCCTATTTGTCGTATGTTCTCACGGCAGCGCGTCTTTCCACTTCCAAATTGCGTGGGGGGGATCACTCTGGAAGGTTCGATCCCAAGTCTATAGAAGAAAGAGGCAGAAAAAAATCAAGGTTACCGACATTCGTCATGTGATCGAGCTCTATGCATGAACTTTAACCTCCTGGTACGGTGTGCATACGATGGTTTGCACTTCACCACCACCGACTACCTCCACATACAGCGGGTGACGGACAACACCCATTCTAAGCCGAGAAAGTCTGACCGTTCCTCTCACTGGAATCGACGTCCTCCGGGCGGAAATGCCGATTGGTGTGTGGGTAAAGCACGTACGGAACGCGCACTCGTGCACCAACATCCACCTTTTCCGCCAGCCAACGCAACTGAGACCATCTACTTCAATTCCGCCGCACATCTGGGCTCTTTCTTAGTCTGGCCATCTCCGTCCCTTGCGTCTCCCACCTCCCGCCCGGGTTCTATTTTACTAGAGACGTAGGCCAGGCCCGGCTGCCTTGAAATGAACAGTAAATATACCGAGGAAAGCCAAACTGACGCTCGTCTGTTTCTCGCCGAAAACCTCACTCCTTTCTGGTAGCCTCTCTGCCCGTTTCCGTGTCTATCATACTGTTCGCCCCACGTTGTAAATCTTGCGCCGCATCAACTTCTAGATTAACGTGGTCAATGAACTTGCTGCTGGTCCGGGGTTGCTCACAAAGATCACAGTCTTTCAAAACAGCGGCAGCGGGCGACCTGTAACACGAATACTTCAACAACCACAGACAAGCTGCACAGAAGAATGCTTGGCGAGGCGTGACGCGAGGCTCCACTCAATCGGGCCATGCGTGTGTCCGTACCATAACCAAGTCCGGGAGCGCTCCCACCCGCACCCGTCAACTACAGACCAACGACCGCGTTCGCCGCCACCGCAGCGGCTATCAGTCGAGTCACGCAAGCCCAACCCCACCCCAACAAGCAACACGGCGCGAATTCGAACAACGAACAGCCAGGGGCTACAGCAAGGTCAAGAAGAAGCGCCGTGCGGACTTACAACGCGCCGAGCGAAGTCGTCATTTCTCGCGGAATGATTGATACCACCCCCGTTTTAGCCAAGAAACATGTACCACAGGCAGGGGAATAAAAATGAAGTCCGAGAATTTTTTTTTCATGTGCTTCCGGAAACGTACATCCAACGAGAGGGAAAAGCAGCAACACCTGGCTCCCGCCGTTCGGAAATTCTTTATGGACGAACGGGTCGTTTTTTCGGGATGATCATTACGGTGAAACTCGAGGGGTCGGCCACCAAAAAACAATCAGCCACGAACGACCCAAGTCCACACCGACGAACGCCGATTTTCTCCTCTCGCTGGTTCTGAGGTTCAGAACGGTCTTATAGGACTTGGGTGACTTCTGGGAAGGGTATGAGGGTGATGAGGGAGAAGAACAGCAGGAGGCCCGTCGTGACGATTCGCCCCTCTCCCACCTCGGTCAGCTCGTCCTGACGAACCACGAAAGGGAACAGCAAAAACAAGAACGACGGGCAAAAAAACACGTAAGGTGCAAGGAATTTCCAACGGTGACAACGCGATCAGCTTTCCCGATAAACCTGTCCCATTTTTCCTTCCGATGCACAGACGGGTGTTCTATTTTACTGTTTGGGGGGGGGGGAGTAAGCACCGAGTGAAAAACGGTTCCACGGACTGGAGTATTCGTAATTTCCGAGTGTTCAAACCATAGAGAACTCCGCACAAGAGAAGACATCGCTGTTGGCACGCCATATCGTCTGCCCCTCAATAAAAATTAGAGTAACACCGGCAACAGAAACGCATCAACTGCGCAACAACACTTCATAATCTCTGGACAACGGGTGTACGTCTCGCTGTGAACGAACCCCAGCCCAACCTCTAGTTGAGCGTCAAAACACCACATACGACGAGAGCATCACAGGAGGTCGCTTACCACGCCCACACATACAATTGTCAGAGGCGGATATTTGTAGAAATTGCCCTGCTCATGCAGGGCTGCCTCCAATCCGAGGCCTGCTTTCCTTTGATGCTTTGGACGGATAGGAATTTTTTTCGTGTGTGACGGCGTGACGAAAGCGAGCCCCCTCGAAAAAAATTATTTACTTGGCAAACAAGGTACTTTCTCATTTGACAACGTACTTACTTTGTACAGGTGAGATATAGATATCAGACAACCTCGGGATACTTCGAAACAAATTTTACGCTGGAGAAAATGAACAGAAAGGTCACAGCCTCGCGTTACAACAAGCGGGAATATCAGCTCGCCGCCCCCCTTGAGCGATAGACAGCGCTCGGTACGCTAAAGTACTTCGTGCAATATATACGTATGTAAAGGCAGCAGTTTACAAGACACACACACACGTTTCGTACACAACATTTCTGAGATTGGGGGGGGGGGGGGTACGAGACTCTCGCTGTGTTCCTTGAGCGATAACCCTCGTTACGCTAACAAGGTGCCCATTGCGCTATGTACGTATCGTATCTAAAGGCAGCAGCATACATTTGACAGACAACACAGCTGGGCCCCGTGGGGCCGAGGGGGGGGGGGGGGGGGGGGTTGGGGCCAAAACCTTAAAAAAAC